CATTTCCACTGGCAACCAGTGGGGACATGGAGGACACCCCACCGATAACAGTTTGGTTCCTTACTTTTTGGTAATTAACCTTTTTTTATTTCTCCCTGAGGTACATTCTATATAGGTATTTTCCACAGAATAAACACCTCCTTTGACCGTGCCCACTTTCACTAGCACAATTTCAATGGATTGTAATGTAAGCTTGCTGTTTAGATGGAAGTGCCCTTCCTCCCCCTCCATACCACGTTCATCTCGTACCCCCGGAGCCTAGAAGATGACTACTTGGTAAGGGCACACAAGTAGGAAGTAGATAAAGGGAAGTGGTGTTGAAATAGAACCTCATACCTTTACTGCAGTCCTGTTCCTGCCAGGCGATCAGCTTCTGCTCAACACCTTCCAATGGATTCCCATGGCACTCAGAACAAAGCCAGTCCTTACATCAGCATGTAGACCCTGCATGACCTGCTCTTCTCTCATTCCCTACCCGCCCGCCCCACCGCCCATCACTCTATTGCAGCCACGCTGGCCTGCCTGGTGCTCTCAAACCCTCCAAGTACTCTGGTCTTGCAGCCTTATCGTCCCCCCCCCCCCCCCCAGATTTCTGCTTTGTCAAGTATCTTCCTGGAGAGGTCCCTAAGTACACTGTATAAAAGAGCAATCCTCCCCTCACCAGGACTCCATGTTACCTTTACTCGGCTTAATCACCATCTACCATATATATTCTATTTGTTTATTGTCTGTCCTCTTATACTAGACTGTAAGCTCTATGAAGGCAGAGATTTGGCATTTATTAACTATTATATTGTCCCTGTGTATCTTACATTGTTCCTGGCACACAGTAGAGCTTAATATTTTGTTGAATGAATAAAAATCTGATTATTTACCATTTAACCAAATACCACTTAGAAAAAGAAAATCTCAGTCTCTCTCAAACATGTTGGATAAATTAAATGCACCATAGGGACCAGCCTTGAATTTTCTAATGACCTCAGACATTTAGGGAATTGCTTGCCACGAAGAAGCTTATTGTATTTACATCATCCCCCACCCCCCCATGGTCTTTTAATGAATCAGATTTCAGAAATGAGGATAAAAAGCTTATTTATTTCGGTTGGAAAAGATTTCAATTATTGGGTAACACTAATGTAGATGAGCAACAGAAAACTTCTATAAGATACCTAGGTTTTGGCAAATGCCCTAGCCCTTACGCAATATTAACGGCAACAGTTCCGTTACAAATATTAAGAAAGTTGTGCAGGCGGGGGTAGGGGTGTTCCTTGGCCTACGCTACAGTGGAATCTACACTCAATTGAGCTGCCCTGCCAGCTGAAAAACCTGACAAAGTATGAGTGAGCTGCAGAGCCCAAGACTCCAAGGTAAGGAGAAAAAGAAGTCAGCATTTAGGAATCGTCCCCAAGTGTAACAAAGTGCTTCAGAAATCACCTTAGAGTTGTGAGCACTGAAGCATCCCACGATGCAGTATCATGATGTAAGTTAGACCTCTGGTGCTAACAGGTCAGGAAAAAGAGCCATAATTACAGTCTTCGTCCCTGGGGTACTGTACAGGATAAACACCGAGGCTGTCTTGGGTAACAAGCACACACATACACCTGCCAGCCCACCCTCTAAGCTCTGAAGTGCAACAGTCGCTCAGCTTCACTCCAGAGGCTGTACACCGGGGTGCTAGGTCTGTCTCAGTGAAGAGGCCGTTGGGTGAAGTGAATGCGAACTAAGCAGAATAGGGAAGAGGCATTTCCCTCTTGGCCTTGTTACTTTCTACATACTGAGTCCAATTCCCTCATCACTTCCTCAGAGAAGTCTTCCCTAAGCAGGTCAATCCTAGTTTTTAGCCCCCCCAGCTACATGGACCTCTCCATGCGGATCTCACCATTGCACATCACAGTCATCCATGAGGATCTGAGTAACGCCTGTCCCCCTCCTAGACTGTAGCCGCAGGAGGATGGGGATTGGTTTTGGTTTTACCTTTTCAATGCCCAGCAGTGCCTGATACATTTAATATACACATTTTAATTAATGTATAAATAATTAAGCAGTAAGAAGTATTCTCCCAACCTTTTCTCTCACATAAAATCTCTACCTACATTCAGAGTCAGCTGTCGATTCTGGAAAAAGGGACTCAAGCTAGTAAAGACCCCGTGTAGCTACATGTGTGTGTCTCCATTCCTTCCCTAGGGGCTAGGCTTTGTCCTCCAGCTACTGAGTCCTGGGGTACTTGGTACTGGAACTGACCCTCACTTCATTTTTATCTATGAAAACATTTTAATCTAAGCTATATGCCTAGGAATTCTAAATTCCTACCATACCTCACTTTGTGACTGCAGTTATGCTTCTTCATTCTGTCTTCTCCTCGGGCCAGATGCTACATAGCGTAGTACAATACCCCACTTTGTAAACCCAGTTCTCTCCAGACATTATGGTAGACAGCAAGACTTCAGACAACCCGAAAGGCCACACCGAGCACTGGTGTCCATGGTCCTCCCATTAGCGCAGGCGAATCTGGCTTCACCCGAGGCCCGCTGACAGCCACTTCACTGGGCAACAGACCATCCGAGAGGAAACCACCCAGTGCTCCTAAGAGTCCTGCTACATCACACTGCTAGAGAAATGGGTCGCGTCCCACAAATGTCATTCCACCCACTGGTGTTCATGATGACCGCATGCAAGGTTTAAAAACCTTGGCGGGTTATTAAAGGGCCAGGGTTCCATCCAGCCATGGCAGGCACAATGAATGCCCTTTTTTGATCTACTCTGCTAGAGAAGTCAAACTATAAACCTTCCATCAGGCAATTCCATCCCATGGATATACCCCGTAAACTGGTGCTCAGCAGTGTTGCGCTTTGGTGACAGATGTTCACCATCTGGCTCTTTCAGCCACACCCATGCTACAGCTGGATTCTCATATTCCCAGGCCCGGTCCCACAGCAGTAACACTGGTGTTTGTATGGCATGCCACAGTTTACAAAACTCTTATCTTATTTCATCCTTGCCCAAGTCTGGTGAGGTGGGCAGGCAGGTGGAACAAGACCTGGCAGCTGTGGTGTCAGAGAGGGAGGCTGCCTGGCACTGCCAGGACTCAGAGGGCAGCACCTCGATGAGACCACTACCCCCTGGGAGGTGGCCCACTGCTGGAGGGGGCAAAGACCCACCTGGTTATGCTTAAAACACTGACTCACGGTAACTGAAATGAACGTGAGCCTGAGATAGTCACCAGAATGCCACTTATGTTAACTAATCCATGAGAAATTTTCACCCTGGGGCTAGAATTTAAGGGTGCATGTTTAGTATAGTTCACGCCACCAGGACAGTGGTTCCAACTTTTACTGCACACACATCTAATCAACAGCATCTCACTGTTACAGGAACACCTACCCACGATATAGTTAGGTGGCTTTGCTAGCTCAGCATCAGAACAAGGAACACTAGAGAAGCTGTTTATGATGCCAGAAGGAATCTTACAGCAGATTACATTTGTCCATGGACTCCAAATACTGTAGGCTATAATCCCTTCATCCCTTCCTGGACCAAGAGCAAGAATACTTGAACTTCCAAGTTATCATCTCTTCTGTCCTAACCAGTGCTTGGAACGAACACAGACTATGTTCATCTAACGTGCTTTCTGATGGCGACCCACTGTCCATCAAGTCAAACGGGTCAGAGCAGGTGTGTCGGTTAGTGAATTCCCAGTGGAGCACACTGAGCTATATGCTAATCTAGGTATCTTACAGGTAACAGAATGGAGATGCGCGGGGAATCTGTAACCAGCCTAATATCAGACAATCAGCAGGGGCGGAGGCAGGGTTCGTACGTTCTTGCTGGCCTGGGAGCCACTGCTGCTCAGGTGACACTTCTCTCTGCCCGGGCGTGCTGACCTTGTAGCATACCTCCGGGAGGGTGATCTTACGTCTCTCATTTCCTCATTTTATCAGCGACCGCACTGTGGCTGTTGAGTTCTGAAAACAATACCCGCCTTACAAATATGGAAACCGAAGTGTAGAGAAGTGAAGGATTTTTTTCAAGGTTACACCCCCAGCCAAGGTGAACCTGGAACTGGAGCTAAGTCTAAGTTCTAAACCGAACCCTTCCTACCAGGCCATACTATCTTTCCCTTTGTAGGCCTTAGGCCAGTGATGGCGAACCTTTTGAGCTCAGCGTGTCAGCATTTTGAAAAACCCTAACATAACTCTGGTGCTGTGTCACATATAGAATTTTTTTGATATTTGCAACCATAGTAAAAGAAAGACTTATATTTTTGATATTTATTTTATATATTTAAATGCCATTTAACAAAGAAAAATCAACCAAAAAAATGAGTTCGCGTGTCACCTCTGACACGCCTGTCATAGGTTCGCCATCACTGCCTTAGGCCTTGTCCTAGAAAGGCATTTTTGCTTAAACAGGTTCCAATACCCCTATGTTCAGACCATGACTGGGTTAACAGAGGATTTCGTTTCCTATTCCCAACTCAAAGGAGGGTAGTGGTCTATCTAGGAAATACTACAATTCTTTCCAGCACAATTAGCACAGTAAGTCTTCTGGAAAAGGTTGCTAATGGGAAGAAGGAAATCTGACTCGTTTCCCAAAGTACAAAATTCTAAAGGGTTTGTATTAGGGTACTAATTTTTATATAAACAACCCTAAAATCTCTGTGCCTTAAAAAACCATCACAGTCCAATGTGGGTGAGCTGGGGTGAGAAGGGAGGCACATATGGGGAAGACTTTTGTCCTAGTCATTCAGGAACCAAAAGAGTCCATGGCAAAAACCAGGGTACGAATCTCTAATCTAGAGGCTTTGCAATTCTCTGGGGCCTTGTAGTCTTTCATCGGGTCCTCTGAATCCAGTGGGCTGGTAAGGGAAGAAACAGCCTGAAGAATCTCTTAGAGGAAAGATAAAAAAATGACTTACATCACTTCTGTCCTCATTCCCGGGGTGAGAACTCAGTAATATGACCCATGTAACTGCAGTAAAGACTGGCTCTCTGCGTACCCAGGAGGGAAGAAAATGTGGTTTAATGAACACAGCATTAACTCTGTTACACTGTCAAACACATTAGATTATACCAATGCTAAATGATACAATGGTACAAAGACTAAAGAACACAACAATACTAAATGCTGTGAATACTGTAGATTTGTAAAAATACAAATAATATAAAAATGATAAAAATGCTAAATTATGCCACAAATCGTACGTGACACGACAGCCACACACAATGATGTACAGGGCGCCTCTCTGATCTTACCCTGAGGGAGAAGGGCCTGGAAGTGAGACCACTGCCGAGGAATGGGCGTGGGTGACTCTCTGCTTGGCCCATAAAGAGACGGTTACAGGAGCAGCCTCATGGGCAGGAGAGAGAGATGTGAGAAAGGCGGTAACACGAGGCCCCCACCAGCTGACAAGAGAAGGCAACAGAGCTCTTACGGAAGCTTCCGCACAACCCTCCCAGAGTTGTTTTCCAGTTACCCAGCGCGAAGACACTTTCTTTCATCTGAAGTCAGGTATCGGCTTGCGTCACTCACTCAGTTCTGGGGGTAAGCGTATGCCTCCCTTGAGGAGGGCAGAAGGCGTGATGGTGACATGGGACGCAAGGAGAGCCCAAGGGACCATGGTTAGGCCATGCTCCCAGATCCTAACACACACCAACAGCGGCACCCTTCTGAGCTCTACAAACAGGCAGCTAGATGCCAAAAAGGACTTTGAGGTCAGCCAAGGTCAGCTTGGTGACAGATTCTCCAGATCCTGATAGAACCTGTTTGGCCAAATCTTTCTTTTTCTCTTGGAGCTGCAAGATCTTCTCTTCCACTGTTTCCTCACAAACAAATCTGAAACACAGACAAGCAAACAATTAGAAATCCAAGGCAGCGTATCTAATAACATGTTTGAACTTCTATTTATGCTTTAGTTTTTAAATGAGGTGTCTTCCTTTATGTAAGCTTAGGTTTGGTTAAGAACTCTTAAGTTTAGGCAAACCAGACAACCCAGACTAAATAAATGTCCATTTAAAATGATGTGACTCAGACTGACTTTTTTATTTCTTTCTGCAGCAGGTAATTGAGAAATGCCAATATGAGCAAAAGATATCCCTGTCCATGAAAGCACAGAGAGCCAGCTTTCACACAAACAGCTCCGCCTTCATAAGATGGAAAGGAATTTCTGCTAGGCATGTGTGCTGGTTTAAACAGAGTATCTGATTTTTGGGCTAATTCACACTGTAACAGGTTTTACAAACTGAGGAAATGCCACTGTTGTCATTCAATCACGCAACCTCTTCTGATTAAGCATTCACTATATGCCATGTACTACGCTAAGTGTAGGTATAGAGAGATTAACGTAAGTCTTGCTCTCAAAGAGAACCCAAAAGAAAGAGATTAAAATAAACAATAATACTACTAGCCAGAAAGTGCTATGATGGAAGCATGTCCAGTGTGCAAAAGGAGCAAGTACATCTGTCTGGAGTACCGAGGGAGGCTCCACCGAGGAGTTAACTCTCAGTGAGTAATGGGTGAGAATCTGGGCAGTCAATTCAGATACTGATCGGGTCTGGAGTTGAGGAGATCTTGGAACTGAAGATATAGGTATGGGAGTTACTGGAGTCGACAGATTTTTAGGGGAGGTGCGTCCAGAGTGAGAAGAGAGCTCAAGGCAGGAAAGCTAACATAATCGCTGTAGTTGGCAAATTTTGAGATTTACTGGTGCCCTTAGCAAGAGTAATTTCAGTGGAACAACAGGGTGAAAGTCAGTTGGTAAAGTCTGAGGAATGAATGGGAGGTAAGCAAGTAAAGTCAGTCAGTGATTTCTAATTCTCCAGGAAAGGTGGCCCTGAAACAGAAGGAGAAAAAGAGGTCCATCGCTAGAGGACTGTAGCATCAAGGCAGGTTTCATTGTCTTTAAAGAGAAGGGGGTCCCGCGCAGAGGACTATTCTACAAAATTACTGGCTTGTATTCTTCAAACATAAAACACAAAAAAGACTGAGATTGTTCCACATAAAAGGAGAGAAGAGTCATGACAACAGAATGCTTCGCAGGATCTAGGATTTTCTTTTGCAGAGAAGATGTCATTGAAACAAGTGACAAAACAGAATAAAGTCCATAGGTCAGGTATTATATCAGGAGTACATTGTTAACAGCTCAATTTTGGCCATTTTATTGTGGTTATGTAAGAAAATGTCCTTATTTCTAGAAAATGGACAGTAAAGTAGTTAGGGATAAATAAACAGCATGCGTGCAACTTACTCTCAAATGGTGCAGAAAAAAGTTTGCATGTACACGCACACACACACGCACAAACACACATGCACACACAGACACGCAGGATATTTTTGGTCTTTTTCTTTTAAGACTTCTTACATTTTTTATATGTCTGAAATTACGTCAAAATAAAAGTTATAAGCAAGAGAGGGAGAGGGTCGTTTCATGGGCTGCCCTGACTGAGCTAAGGCTCACTACTCTAGACAACTTGCTCTTCTTTGCAGAGGCCAATTCCAAGGTCATCCTCCAATTGCCTGTGTTCCCTTCCTGACTGTGAGTCCAAGGGGGGATGTGCCTCAGTAGCATCATTAGTAAAACAATCACCAAATACTTTACATTCTATTAAAATCTACCCAAGAAAGACTGGCACGAAAGCAGAACTTGGGGAGGGTCCTAGGTCCTGGGAGGCCCTTACTTACCTGTGTATGACAACATCTTTCTGCTGTCCTACTCGATAAATTCGGTCACAAGCTTGATCTTCAAGTGAGGGGTTCCTGGTAGAAAAGAGGGAAAGCTCAAAGGCACAGACATCCTAGGCCAGGGCAGCCAACTCCATAGGCAAATCCAGCCCACAGCCTGACTTTGGTATGGCTCTTTAGCTAAAAATGGTTGTTACAGCTTTAAAGGGTTGTAAAAACAAGCAAAATCCCACAGTGAAGAATATACAACAGAGACCTATGCAGCCTTCAAATCCTAAAATAATGACGATCTGGCCTAAACTATATACAGAAAAAGCTTGCAGATCCCTGTCCTGGCTATACTGGCCGCAGACAGTGTGGTATCAGATATTTCCTGCTTTCTAATGAGAAACTGGGGCCACTGCTAATAGTGACTCAGCATTATCGTCAGTTCAAACAGTAACAGAGGTGGAACCAACATTTAAATTCGGTCACTAACTAGCTGGGGGACCTGGGCAAGTCATCTAGCCTCAACCCTCTACATTCCTGGCTGCTACCTGGAAACGTGAGAGCTGAATACCTTTCTCAGCTTTCATATTCTGTGATTCAACTGCCAGAGAATCAGACCCACGTGCAGCAATCCCTGGCTGGCATAAACGGAAAACCAAAAGCTGGGACTAATTATGACACTTTGTCCTGACAACACATACTCATTTATCTTATTTCCAGGAAAGGTGCTTGCTATTATGCTCCTGGTGTTGACGCTACGTGGGAGGCCAAGGGCGACATGTTAAGTGTAGTCCTAACATAATTAGAAAATCCCTCCCCCTTTTCCTTTTAGACAGAGTAATGCTGCTCCCTCTTTTCCAGGGTTGAGAGTTCCCTGGAGGTCAACACATATGTCTGAAATATGGTATTGTGAAGAGTCAGAACTGAGGGATGCAGGTCTTAGGTCTTAGTCATAGGAAAAGCCTTGCTCCCAGTTTCCATGGAAACAGACGTTAGAATAACAATAAAGTGAATGGACTATTTTCAGTAGCATTTGAAGCCTTGCCGGTCAGGGATTCAGGGCTGTCCACTAGCCCTGCATCTCCACACACGTGTGCAGCGGCATCTCCCCAACACTGGTAGAGCCGAGTCAACAGACAGGCCCTGCTGCCCCTCCAGCCTGCTGGTCCCCTGCTCTGCTGTGAAACTCCAGAAAAATCCAGAGCTGTGGTTACCAGTGCATATCCAGAAGAAAAAGGTGGTTTCCGCCAATCAGGTTTAGACCAACACCTCCAGCCAAAAGGGAGATGAGCATGACCTACAGAAGAAAGCACACCAGTAACTCCATGAAATACACGCTCCTCTGCCCCAGGTTCAAGGCCAGCATCAGTACAGAGAGCACCGAGTTCCTATCGAATTTCCTTCTGCTGCCGTAAATGCACTATTTTGAAACTGTGAAACGTCCCACTTTTAAGAAAATTCTCATTTCAGTTTTTTGGTGAGTGAATCTCAAAACACTGTGTGCCTGCCAAAATATACAAGTACTACACTCTAGAGGACTGTAGTGGCTAGCTCAATACACTTCCCTTTAACCAGATTCTGTCTATCCCATCCGTCTCTGCACCCCCACCCTCAGCACCTCTATGATCCTCCTGCCACTCACGAATGCTTTCCAAAGTCTTATTATCCATCATCAGATGCCTCATTCTTCAACTTCCTCCCATATTTCATCTCTAAATCCTACCCATTTTTTAAGACTTGCCTCCTCCACAAAGATTCTCTTGAACCCACCCAGTTCTGCTCTCCCTCTCCTTTTAGCCCTCATATTTTATTCTCTTTAGAGGATCTGCATACTTTGATATGTACCTCATAAATGTCTAATAAATTTAAAAGACCTGGAGGGATCAAAGCTATGAATATATTTAAATTGAGCTGCTACATTAGAATTCTCTGTATAACTGAGAAAAAATTGCTCTTAATTCTATAACTTTGATATGACCAGCTCGTACCTGGGGGCCCCTGGAGTTGTTAAATGCCTCTACCAAGTCCATTCTCTGTTTGGGGCTGACAGAGCCATCGATGGTGGCGTAGGTCAGTTTGTGCCTCCTCAGGTGCAAGGCTACAACCTTCAGCATGCTGGTCCACTGAGAGACAATGACACTGGAAGGAAGGATAAAACAACCCCCCAAACAGATTAAACTCATCTGCAACCTGTCATGCCCCTTTGAGTTCAGTTGTCATGTGGAAGAGGAAAGGCCTTCTGTGACATGCTTAGGTCACATTTTAAGATTATATGTGGATAAACAAATAAATTGTGACATGGTAAAAAGATGATAATGCTCCAAGTTGTTTCCAGATCCAGCCTACGATCTATCCGGCACTGAATGAAGTGAGGATACAGTGGTGACTAGACTCCGGTAAGCACTACAGCCTCCTACTATTTGGGGGTCGAATGCTCACCCAGAGGAGCTCTGTGGTCCTGCAGAGAGGGACCCATCGCCAGTCATAACAACAAGCTGCTAGGACTTCTCTACTCCCCTCACCCAACCCCCTCCATCCTGTGTTAATTAGAGTTTAAAGTTTTAGATAAAAATATTTCACATATACAAATGCAGGTTTATAACATGCACGTAAGTTGAAACAAACAGCAAATGGACTCCCGGCCTTCTCACGCAGTTCTCCCTCCCTTCTGCACCTGTTACCCTTGATTCTCTTTAGATACTGCTCTACTTTTAAACACTTCTCAGAGGCTTAGCTTTCTCCGGTCCTCAGGGACTTCCTTTCTAACCAGTGCCACAAATACTTTAATCAGAAATCAGAGGGAAGTTGGGCCATAACGTCAGTGCTTTCTGCTGAATATGACTCAAGGTCCTTAACATAAAAAACTAAGATTTGCAACTGTCAGCAATACCAAACTTTCTTGCTTAATTACAAGTAATACCTAGATAATGAGATAACACATTTACCTCTTTTGAGACCCTGAATTTCTTCGGATTGCCTCCAATTCTGCCAACAGAGATGAAATCTGGAAAAGGTTACATTAACATATGTAGCTTAAGAACTCTTCTCACTGTCCCTCTCCGGAATTACTGAGTGGCACCTGGATGGCCTCTCTGCTTGGTCTGACCCTCTCTACCCCACTCTCGTCTCTGCAGCCAGACAGCTATTTCTAAAATGTCAGTGTCACTTCCCTCCCGGGCTCAAGTCCCTTGAGTGGCTTCCCCTGAGGATAAAGCCCACGCTCTGTACACTGATCCTGGCTGCTCTGGCCTCTGCTTCCAGCTCCAGCTTCATCTCTCACTCTGCCCTCCCCAAGCGACACTCTAGTCATACGAAAATTCTTCCTTCACCAAGCCATGCTTTGTCTCACCTTTGTCCGTTCTGTTCCCCATCAGCTTAATGTCACTTCTTCTTGAAGGTTCTCCCTAGCCCCCAAAGTATGGGTCAGGTGCCCACTGCCTACGTGCTACCACAGCACATTTTGTTTCAATCACCAAGATCGTCTTCATGCTATATATTCATTGCTCACTTAATCATCTCTTGCTTCCATAACTTGAGATGCTCCAAGGAGGCAGATAGCCAGTGTATGTCTGGTTCACTTCTGTACCCCTAGCACACGACTAGACCAGAGACGGTACCACCCTAACATTTGGGGAAGAGGGTAAAAAGCCTTTCCCCAATTGAAGGCCTGCTCCAAATGTTGTTGAAGGAGAGGATGTGTCCAGACTGAGGAACACTTGCTAAAGCGTCCAAACAATCTCTCTGGTTATTTGTCAAATTTGAGTCCACAGGGGACCAGTCAATAAGAACACATGGGCAGGACTTTGGACAGCAGCTCAGTGCATTCCTCCTGACTGCTAATGTGAATGACCTTGCGAAAGCCTCCGAAGGGCCCCAGAGATCATCCCCAGAATGATGGAGGAGGAAGAAAATTAGACCAGGAACCAGGAGATGAAGAGATTCCTTACTCTGCCGCCACATGACTGTATCACTTTGGAACTCCCCGTTACGAGTTCAGAATCTACATCAGTAAAAAACTGGGCTGAGCCAGATGAATTCTGAGGTCCTTCAGCCCCTACACCAGCCATGGGCAAACTACGGCCCGCGGGCCGGATCCGGCCCGTTTGAAATGAATAAAACTAAAAAAAAAAAGACCGTACCCTTTTATGTAATGATGTTCACTTTGAATTTATATTAGTTCACATAAACACTCCATCCATGCTTTTGTTCCGGCCCTCCGGTCCAGTTTAAGAACCCATTGTGGCCCTCGAGTCAAAAAGTTTGCCCACCCCTGCTCTACACCATGGTTATAGCAGTGACCTGTAGAGGCCCCCACACGTGCTGATGCCAGGCAGGAAGGGAGTCACAGGACCGTACCATTTTGAAACAGTAGGAAGAAAAAAGAAGGTACGTGTAGCGTGTGGTATCTTGGCAACTCGAGGTTCTAGAAAGTGCTCTGATTGCCATGTTAAAGAATAGCCACAAGTATTTTGAGAAAACTGTTGAGAGCCGGATTCATGGTCCATGTGCTGGGGTCAAATCCCAGTGACATTCTGCCTGAGCTCAGGTTTATGTAACCAGAGAAAACTCCCTTCCCTTCATAGAGCAACCTCAATGGTGTGAGCTATCACTAATGGGCTTATGCTAAGAAGCCTTGTGAATAAACATTACCACGAATTATTAGCAATGTAAGTTTTAACCCAATCACAAACTCTGAAGGTGCCAGGACAGGAAGTCTGGCCACATATGGCTCTCTTCTTATGTCTCTCTCAGTTATCAGTGGTAAAGATCCAGGTAAATACTTTAAAATTTTAATTAAAAGTATTCTTAAGTAACACCATTTCCTTGGCAGTGACCGCCTTTCTAGTTACTTTTTTAAGAAGCCTTTGAAGAGGTTGAGGCTAGCAGTGGGCGTGAGATGAAAGGCAGGGCTCAAGTTGCAGCGCCTCTCAGCCTTCCTCTAACAGGGCTCTCCGCCTTAAAGAGCTCTAATGAGCAGAACAGAATGACTGATGGAGATAGGAGGCCGTGTGGGAAACACTAGTGCAGATGGAAGCCTTTCAACAAGTCAGAGCCATTGGCACTCAGATGTATTACAGCCTCTAGGGTCCAGCTTTTGTTGTTTTCCTTTAAAGCTTTCCCAAAACAAATTGCTTGCTCACTGTGGCCCTGTCCCAGCGTAAACCTGATCGGCTCCTTTCCCAGTAATCCATGACCGAAAAGCTGCCTTCATGCCTGAGCTGGTCCACTATCTAACTTTAGTTTTATTTGTGAAATAAAATTAGAATTTAAGACTGGAGGGAGAATTTGACCAGCTAAAATCGAACAGTTCTAGCTCTGCCATCAAAGGACTGTACCCCCTTGGACAAATGTGTGAGGAGGCCAACTCTGTCCGCCAGAATAGAGGCGACGAAGTACCTTGGTGCTCTCTCTCGTGTCTTCAAATAGCTCAACCTTGAAGCACTCGCCATTCAGGGAGACAGTGGCAGACGGCTCTGAGTTCTGGAGTTCGGACAAGGTCAGAGCGCTGAGCTGATCCTCCAGGGAAAGGAGCAGGCCTTCGCTCTTCAGTTCTGTCGGATCCAGGGCCTGAGCAGGAAACAGACAGGACAGGAGCAGGTGGGCACGGAGGCAGCAAGCCACAGGACTTGCCAATGAAGTGCTGACTGTTAACACTCCACACAGCAAAATGTCTTCTCATTGATCATCAGTAGCTCCTCAGAGACACCACGATTAAAAATGTAATTTTCCAAGTTTTTTCACCAGATTGAAGATAAATCAAATAATGAAACTTTTTGGTGACTTGCCAGATAGATCACATGATCATTCTTTTCCCCAGCTGGGATAGTACAGTAAATTAAGGTACTGTTAATCTAGATACATTACCACTACTCCTCAAAAGAATAAAACACTCCTCTTAATTATGGATGTACCTCTCTCAAACATAAAGGCAACTTTTCCAATATCTGAGTTTTCATAACTGGACCTGAAAGTCCTACTGCCTGAGGCAGAAAAAAAAGTAACTAAATTAGCTTTGTGACATCCTAAAATACCAAAGTATTCATAAATGGTTTCCTTCTTAACAGAATGCTATTTTCCATTCTTTGTAAAAAGCTTATTTAAAACAAAACAAACAATAAAAACTGTTCTCAACACCATGGGAATTATCAAGATCAATAAAAATTAATGTAAAACAAAGTAAAATAAACAAGCACCCTCTTTTCTGCCCCACCAAAAACCAAAGACACACCCAAACCCCATTTTCCTTGGTCCAGCAGACTAAATCCCAGATGCAGAAAGACAGGAATTTCCTGGCAGCCCTTCTGGGCACGAAGCTAAAGGCTTTTCTTACCGACTTTAGCAAAGAGAGATGGCAGCAACACTGGCGGAGTCTCAACAACTGTGACAATATGTGGACGGTGCTGGATCGCTGTGAGTCTGTGGCCACAGAGCGTGCAGGCGCACTAGACCCAAACTCCTGTGCCACTTCAGGAGGGAAAACAAACCATAGGAAACAGTAAGGGCTTAAAACAGGTATGAGGATGAATCAAGAACTAAATGATGCTATTTTAAATTTCTTTGATCTGAGGCTCAATGATATTAGTTGTAACACTTCTATACTAAATAAGCCAAATGAAATGCTGGTTTTCTTTATTGACCTACTTATATTTAATAGATCAGAGTTTGAAAATAATTAAAAAGAAGCTTAGGTCACCAGGACTGATGCTTACAGATCAGTATATACACTATGGTTTGAGGTTCCCAGCTAAGGTCAAATCTCTGATACCAAGAATCCACAACCTCCCTGCTGTAATTTTATGAATCTGACTGCACAGTGTCATTAGTTATGTTTGAGTGCCCCACTGCTTACCTCTACTGAATGGATTATCAGGGCTTCGTCCAGATTGCTTATCCCCACTTTCCTGTCTTTTTAGATAGGATTGGAGAGCTGATCTGCCTCAGATCAAAAAAGAAAATGCACATATAATGTTCGCTACAACTAAATAGGTTTACAATGGCCACTGCTTAACTGTGCTTGCAGTAGCACCTTGAAAAACTAAAGGTGGACTTGTTAAGTGATGTCAGGCTCATAGCAAGCACTGGCCCAAAGGCAACGAAAACTAACTACTGAAAAACCCCCAAATCATTTTTAAATAATTAATAAATATCAATGCAAAATGTTAGAACAGGGGTCCTCAAACTTTTTAAACAGGGGGCCAGTTCACTGTCCCTCAGACCATTAGAGGGCCGGACTATAGTTTAAAAAAAAACTATGAACAAATTCCTATGCACACTGCACATATCTTATTTTGAAGTAAAAAGACAAAACAGGAACAAATACAATATTTGTATTTGCACGTGGCCTGTGGGCCGTAGTTTGAGGACCCCTGTGTTAGAATATTAAATATTAATATGTAATACACTGACATGTTGATATTATTAATTAGTATGTTTTATTAATATTTTTTATTGATGAATATTAATAAATATGAGGTATACAAAGAGAAAAAAACACATTTATGCTGGAAGTGAGAGGTAGTGGGAGAGTAAATCTGGAGTCAGGGAAGGAGAAGGGTTTTACAGAAAGTGCAAAGACCAGATGACAAGGATTACGGAGCAGTTTTTTGTTTTTAAGTTCCAATGAGATGCTGGGTAACAGGTCAAAGGTCAAAGAGATAATTTCCCAACATGGCCCCACGAGGACCAGATGCAGGACCTGGTGCAGTGACCATACCCTAGCACTTCCGTGCAAGGAAGCCAGTGAAGAGCAGCTTCAAAAGCCTTCAATGTCAGTGACACACAGGTGAGCTGGGGAGGGGGTAAGGAGCAAGACGGAGATTATAAAAAAGGAACAGGTATCCGCCTTATCAATAACACCCTAAATACAGTTTGAGAAGACTTGACACTCGACTCACTGCCAAGCCAAGGACAGAAAAGCAACAGTACATATGAGAAGGTGCTTCTTCCTGGCACACACCTTGATCTTGCAAAAAGGACACTATAAACAGTCTCTTCCTCTTCAGAAAGCTTTAAACGGTGCAACTGAAATGTACGCTGGGGCAGCACCACCTGGGAAAGTAAAGGGAAAAGGCAGCTGGGATGAAGTTACAGAAATTAACTGAATATTAGAGTACATTCCCAGAGTTGACACTGGAAGTCTAGTCAAGGCTGGACAGCAGCCTCCACCCTTCCCTAAAAGTAGGGCTGCTAACACACAGACGGCAGGGCTGCTGGGACACAGGTGCAGGACAGCAACCCAGGGCTCTGCCCTGGAAAGTGGGATTCAGAGGCTCCTGAAGCAAAGCAGATGGCTGTTCAACCCAAGACAAGGACATGGTCCCCATCCTCCCCTGGCCTCCCCCTCGGACACACATAAATGAGATTACCAAGGGCTTGCCGGTGGAGTCCAGCTGGTCTTTTGTTCTCCTTAGCAAAAGGCTCCTGGTTAAAATACTTAACCGTTCACCTCCTTTCTTTGTACCATTGTCAACCTGGCTCTTCCACAGATTGAACTCATCAAATGGAGAACAACGGAGAAATCTTTTTTGTTGGGAAGAAGGACATAGAAAGAAGGAAAAGTATGGGAGGATAGAATAAAGGTTCAAAGAAAGACATCAGATGAAAAACAAATCAGATTTTGTTACATCTGCCATCCCATCATTTTTAAAAGGAATGTCATAGTAAAGCTCTGCTAGACAGATCAAAAGGACCTAGGTCAACAACGAAAACCACATTATAAAACTGTGAACTTTCCCATTAACACACTGTCTGTATCGTCACAACAGGACATGTAACCAATAGCTAGAATTTATTCCTAAAGCTTAAAAGGCTAGCAAAGAAATTCCATATCCTCTTACAGGCTGACTTTAATAAAAGCAAGTATTTTAAAATCAGCATTCTTTTCTGTTTGCTTCAAATAAATTATAGTCCTGACCCCAGGTCATATGCTTTAAAGCAGAAATAGCCCAAAACATTCACTGGACTGAAGAAAGGTGATTCTGTTTCCTTTAATTTAATCTGTTTTATATTCTTCCATATATATTGGCTAAATGTAATCAAAGTCCCATATCAGCCAGTCAATCAACTGGTTATTTTTCTCATAAATATGAACTCTTTTGCCCTTTAAAGGTTGGGAGGCTTGCCATCTGCTACATGAGATAACCAGGCATACACCAGAGCTTTACCATGAGATACGAAATAATTAGGAAGGTTACTGACAGGGTTCACGTTTACAGAATTCCAAAGAGTTTACTCACTTCAGCAGTGAATACATGTCCAACAGGTTGTTCTGAATGGGGGTTCCAGTGACGGCCCAACGGGCACGAGCCTGCAGCTTACACACGGCTATGGAAGTCTGCACGCGGGGGTTCTTAACATTGTGAGCCTCATCCAGGACGATTCGGGCCCAGACTATGCGAAGCAAAGGTGTTGCGATACCCTGGAAGAAACGCCAGTGAAACCCAACAACGGAATGGGAAAACGTATGTCTTTAAGAAGATAAGGGGAGACAACAACAAGTGGGTCCTCCACTGAAGACCCATCTGACCTTCAAGTTTGAGGTACACTGAAATAAGCATTAAGCTTAAGAAACCGAGAGTGGAAACTCTCAATGGGTCCAAATAGACAAGTCAGTTGAGTACCCCAGTCCTTGAGCTCAAGAATAAAATGTTTCCTAATATGAGTTTTCCTTTATTCTTTCAATCCACTTTTGAGCAATGGCTATGGGTCAGGACTTCACTAGGTATTCACTCATTTGATAAAATATTTACTAAATTTACAAAAAAATCACTGAAAACTTACTAAAAGTCTACTTTCATATGTGAGATACTAAGCCATACAAATGGACAGTTCCTACCCTCAGAAAGCTCAAAATCTAGAGAAAAGCAAGCACCAAGATAACTACATACAACACAGTGAGTGTCTAATGAGCCCCCCTGCAACCTTCAGCACATGACAGTAGGGATCCAGTCTTGTTCACTCTGTACCCATAATACCCGAGACAGCAGCTCAGTATTTGCTGGATAAATGGAGCGCTGTCACATAAGCATAAGAGACACATTTAACCAAACAGGAGGCAAAGCATTCCACTTATTGTGAACAAAGGCACAAGAGGGTGGCAGAGCTGGCGGAGCAGCACACGTGCCTTGTTGTGGCTGAGCAAGGGGGGGGGGGGCAGAGAGGGTTGGGGTGTAGGTGAAAAGGGACATGCAAGCAGGGCAAGGTCATAAAAGCCTAAAATATCATGTAAAAAAATTAAGGTTTTACCCTAAAAGCAATGAGGAACCACTGAGGAATCTGCAAAGTTAATCATCTGCAAAAGGCAGAGGTGGTCATCAGAGGTCTCCCCAAATACAGAATCTGTGACTATTCTATTGTAAAAACATATGTTAAAGAGGAGTTCCTGGAACAACACTGTATTTTCAGGACAAAAAAAGCCCCTTAGTCACTTAAGCAATAAAGCCTCCGCCCTAGACAACTGCGACTCCCCTGAGTGCAGAGCAGACATCAGGGTTTTCGCTGGTTATCACTTAGCCTCTGGCCCATGTGTAGCCTTATTATTTCAACCCCTTTTCCTGAGAGTTGGAGAGAGGCAGGGAATGATAGCCTAATACCAAAATATTAGTCCTAAAATACCAGTCTTCACACCAAATATAAAACATATCCCGAGAGGATATCTCACAGATTCTAAAGTAAAAATTGCAACAAGTGAGGTTTTCCTATCATCATGTGATGACCACCACAACTGTGATATAGTTATCATTCTTTCTTAAAAAAACACACACAAACAGCTAAAACTGTGCCAACCCTCACCCTTTATCACTGAGGAGGTGGTCTAGGATAAAAGAGGGGACAGAGAGCGCTTCGTTCCCACAGGTGGACCGGCTAGGACACTCCTGACCTCACAGGAGGGTACCTCTGCTCTCTCTGATGCTGTGACAAGACTGAGCGAAAGGAGATGGGGCTCCCCCTCTCCTTCCCTGGCAGCCCCCAGCCTCACCTCTTCACTGAGGTTTGTGCCCGGGACCAGTCCCTCTTGCTTCTTTGTGGGGATCTCCTTGGCCACAAGGCTATAGGTGGTGATGACGATGTCATACGTAGAGAGGCTGTGTAGATATAACACGAAGCAAATGGTAAACGATCCCGTGTGTCTGACAATGAGAAGCAGAGCTGATTTCTTCATAAAAATGCCTATGGCTGGATGGACAGACGGCAGAATTCATTCATTTATGCCTTCATCAACACACGTGATTCTGGAGAGGTAAGCTTGACTCATCTGGCTTCCTTCCCTCTTCCCTCTGATCATTTCTACAGTCTACTCACTGTAACAAGAACAGCCTCCCTCTTCCCATCCAGTGAGTCATAAAGGAGAACCAGCGGGGCTCATATTAACCTTCATATCTGGCCTGTACAGAACGTTGGGAACTAACATTTAGTAATGACTTGACACAGATGATGCTACAGTCCCAGAGAAGTAGAGACTCTCAAAGCAGTTTGCCTTTCATCAAGGATGCTTTCTCCTCTTTGTTCTCCAATGGACTTCAAAACCCATTGATCTAGCTTTGACATGTGGGTATAATCACGCTGTAACTTTCCGTTTACCTTGCCTACACTCTTTACATGTAAAGATTCTTAATGAAAGGCACAAATCCTTTCCCAAAGCAGCTTAATAATGTGAACCTGAGAGAACGTCCACACATACCTTTGATAAAAATGATATGCATAATGCAGAGAGGCAGCAAGGACTCCAGGTGGCCTTAGCATCATATAACATATAACTGAGATGATTCCAATCAGTCCACTAGTACACTCTGAATACCAAACCAGGTATGACCAAAGTGCTAACCAATGAGATGCAATTTATTTCTAAATACAGGCAGGCCACTCACAGCACTCTCTGCCGGAGAAACATGCAGGCCTGCCGCTGCTGCCCCAATGCCCTGTCGTCTGAAGAGACTCTCAGTCACAAGAATTGGTGTATTATATAGGGGTCACCAATCTGGCAATTTACCCCTGAAAGACCACTGCCCTGTTCTTTAGGGGATAAAAGATTCACTATCAGAGGTGGGGGAGAAAAGTGGGAACAAATCCATTCTTTGTTTGTTTGTTTGTTTGTTTGTTAAATATGTTTTATTGATTTTTTACAGAGAGGAAAGGAAGAGGGGAGAGAGTTAGACACATCGATGAGAGAGAAACATCAATCAGCTGCCTCCTGCACACTCCCTACTGGGGATGTGCCCGCAACCAAGGTGCATGCCCTTGACCGGAATTGAACTTGGGACCCTTCAGTCCACAGGCTGATACTCTATCCACTGAGCCAAACCAGTTAGGGCAACAAATCCATTCTTAATTAGATCAGCAAGTATTCAACCCAGACCCTTATATCAGTTAGGAACAAAAAAACCAAATTATTTAAAGCCAAAAGGCAAAGACTAGGGCTCAATTTAACATCTGAGGAAATATTCCCCTTCCTGATCATTCCTCCTCAGGAATTCACATTTAGGTCTAATCCTAAACTCTTGCATCTAAAACTTCTTAGACCATTCACATATGAAAAATACAGTCATCTATATATATAAAAGGCTAATATGCAAAGTGTCCCCTCGGGAGTTCGACTGGGAGTTCGATTGCTTGCTATGATGTGCACTGACCACCAGGGGGGTAGCACGGAATAAAGAAAGGCCCGGCTGGCAGCCAGCAGCCAGGGGAGGGAGGCCCCAGCCAGCAGCCGGAAGGCCCCGATCAGTCCTGATCACTGGCCAGGCCTAGGGACCCTACCCGTGCACTACTTTCATGCACTGGGCCTCTAGTAAAAATATAATCAGCCTACATCAACTAATCATTAATAGTTGTATCAAGATGCTCTTTAAGACTGGGCTAGTTCCATTCACACTAACAGAAAAGAATGTGAATTTGGAAGCAGAAATTCACCATCATGAAATACCTGTGACAGAGCCTCTTCTACCAGGGAATGCAGCTGCTGCCTGGCTGACAACTCAGGCGTGTTCGGCCTGCTCACATGGCAGCTCTTTTTGCAGAGTGCCACAAGAACACCGTTTCTCTCAAGAGTTATCTCTTAATACAGGTGAAGGCTGTTTGGGGATAAGAGTACCTTTGGCCTTGACAATATCATTAGTTCTGATTAAATGAAACCTCGGGGACGCAGGCAGTCAATGAGGCCTCTGAAGCCCAGTGACTTCAACATTCCTGCACTTACACTTTCGCACGTTGATCCCGGTTTGGGCCATGATAGAGATAGACTCTCAGTTTGTTGTGGCTCACACGTTTCTCCACCTCCTTTTTCCAATGGTGGGTCAGGGAAGCAGGACAGATGATAAGTGTTCCATGGGAAGTAAACTCCGTGGAGTCTCGGGAGGAAAAAATCAACACCTAGTTACACCCATTAAACAGCTTTTAGCTTCTGAGAGACATTACCTTTCTCTCGACTGGCTTCATTCCTTCAGTCAATATTTTTAACAACTGCTGCTCTTATTTCTACACATAGGTAAGCAGAATAGGAAAGGGAAGCGATGGCCTTTTAACTCAAAATACTTAATTACTTCTTATTTACCCTTACATAGGTGTCAGACAGAGAGGCTAAAAAAGGAGAGGAAAGCAAGTGGTACACAACCTCAATCTAAAAACCAAAAAAACCAGTGTACTCTCAGTGGCCAGAAGGTGGAAGCTGGATCATATCCTAACTCATCCTGGGCTTTATGGGGGAGTATTGTTTTTTTTCTGAAAAGCATTAACTTAATTATATCTACATTAAAATGTAAGTACAAAAACCCCTAAGATGGGCAAACACTACTTTGGAACCACGTAGTAATGTAGTATTTGTACCACTGCCCCTCATTCCGTGTGTTTGTATACAGGCGTGCATGTGTGCGTAAGTGTAAGTGTGTGCACACCTAAGCTGCTACTGCACACAGGGACATAGGATCCAGCTGCAACAGTGGTCATCAGAGGCTTGAGAGCAGACGGTCACTGATTTTTTTAACTATCTAACCACTTGAGAAATGTACTGTGTCCATGGCAACTTACTGTGGTGGTGTCTATAAACAATACACAGGACTTAAAGTACTTATAGCCATTACAGATTAAAAACAGGATGAAACAAGATACGAATTGTCTAGAACCTGGAAACTTCCAGAACTTCAGAAACATGGAAGACAGCTTTTGCTACGGTGGCTCAAATCTGAGTTTGTGACAGATCCTGCTTCAAAAAATAATACATTAACTAATCTGGACTTATCCTGTGGTTATATCCTCAATATTAATAAAAGTAATCATTATGTATAGACTGTCTCCTAGAGCCTTAGCTCTCTCCACAAAATTTTTCTAGTTCACAGGTCATGCTAAGTTTATATTAAAAGAGAAAAAAGATCACTTAAATTAGCATATTGAGCATCAGAAATGATACTGTAGGAAAATAGTCTAACACTAGATTTCCAATAAATTAATTAAATATGACCACAGGTGTACTTTTGTGGCTTAAAAGTTTTCAAATGATTGATGTAGGAAATGACAGGCCACGAAGGCACTTGAATACCATCTTTGGAAAGCCAAGTCAAGGTCGTGTTTTTGTCCTTCTCTTTGTTTTTCTCTTGATCCTTCTGGGTCAGAATGAGTGAAATCATTGTCAGGGTTTTTCCTAATCCCATATCATCCGCTGGAAAATAAAAATAAAGACAGGAGAGTTAATTACTTAGGGCAAAGAATCAACTCAGCTTCCAGAAAATAAATATATCTTATGCCTACTTTCGTGGTGCTTCTACATTTCTGGAGTTACAGTTAACTCAAAACAGTCCTCCATCCCCTTCACTTATTCATCAGAGAGAGACATGAATTAGCATTCCTTGAGAACTGTCAATGTGTCAGTAACTGAACTAACCTAGTTTACTATTTATACCTTGCAAAATAGTATCCTCATTTCAACCATTTAAATAATCACTCTGACATAAGCAGAAGTAAAGTGTGATGTCATGAATTCCGGTTCAAATCCTGGCTCTGCTGCTGTGCAGAAAAAGAGGAAACACAGCTATCCACTGGAATCCCTGCTTCCAGGGAAGACTGACCTGTGGCTGGCATCTGGGAACTCACCATTCCCTGAACTGACAAGAGTGGCTCACTGGCCCTAGCTGGTTTGGCTCAGTGGATAGAGCATTGGCCTGTGGACTGAAGGGTCTTGGGTCTGGTCAATGGCACATGCCCAGGTTTCGGGCTTGATCCCCGGGAGGCATGCAGGAGGCAGTTGATCAATGATTCTAACCATAGATGTTTCTCTCTCTCTCTCTGAAATCAATAAAATATATATATATATTTTTAAAAAGATTGGCTCACTATGCTTACCCTATTTGTACAAACAACACGGTTTATGCTGAATGCCTGATTTCCCTCTGGAAGCATGGAACTTACATACATACCAGGCTGAAGCTGCCTATGCGACCAGCCCCAGGAAATACCTTGGGCACTGGATCTCTAACAAACCTCCCTGGTTGGCAGCACTGCACGTGTTCTCACATCTCACTGCTGGGAGAATTACGTTTGCCCTGTGTGACTCCCATGGGAAAGGCCTCAGAAGCTGGTGTCTAGACTTCCCCTAGACTTTATCCCATGTGCCTTTTCCTTTTGCTGAGTCTGATTTGTATCAAATAAGTGTTGTTACTATTTTTATTTGTAATACAATATAGCCATGAGTGTGACTATATGCTCTACATCCTCCTAGCAAATCACTGAATCTGGAGGTGGTCTCGGGGACCAACAGAGCCACTTACTAGCCACAGTGGACATCTGTCATGTTTTTCTAGAAGCTGAGCACCTTGGAAAATGCAGTCTGACCAGTGCCCGAAGCACAGCCTGAAAAGCCTGCTTCCTCGGCTTCCTGCAGCGAAGGCAGTGCCAGCATGACCTGCTCCACAGGCCACCAGTACTCACCTAAGATGTAGATTCAGATATAAGTGACCCGAGAAAAGAGGCTAGAAGGGCTGGGCACACAAGTGTCTCATTTTGGGGTAGCAGTGCCCGATAGAGCGAAGCCGCCATGACAGTTTCCACAAGACACTAGCTTATTACTTGGCTCTGACCATTGCTCCTAGAAGCCTGGCTCCCGCCTGGCTCTCCACACCTCCCACCACAGAATAAACCGTCTCTGCTTAACCAGTCAGAGTCAGCTTCTACTGTTGGCAACCGGGACCTGGCTGATCCTGCTGAGGGTCCTGAGCATGCTGGTTAGCCATTCTGAACCGTTTCTCAACTGTAACAGAGGGCAACAACCCCAGAGGCGTTGAGAGGATCATATGAAATAGTACAACAATATCTTCGTTGGCTCCTTCCATAATACCAGACTTACCCAGAATTCCTCCTTGTGGCTTCTGACTTTCCCGCCACAGTAACCAGGCTAATGCCTGCTTCTGGTGCAGCAGCAAAGGGACCTGACAAAAGTAATCACCTAAAGTCAAGTTCAAATTCCTCACGAGAGGCTATCCTGGATCCCGCCCACAGCGACGCCACATTCTACTCTTTTATTTTCTCTAAGTGATCCCCCCAACAGTCTAGATGTCATATAACCTTGAGGTCCTTGACTCCACCGTGTCCCCTTGGGCACCCGTACATCCTGGACTGCCCGGGACAGTGTGCTTTATGCCTATTGTCCAGCATGTCTATCTAGCACCCCCCCATCTCACTCGCAAGTGAGAGTCTTGGTTTGTCTACCTAATCAGCCAAAGTCAGTTTCTATTGCTTGCAACCAACACCTCTGATGGGTCACCCTGCTTTTATCAGCCATTCTGTTGGCTTTTCCTTATTATCTCTTCAACTAGAGGCCCTATGCACGAAATTCGTGCAAGAGTAGGCCTTCGTAGCTCCAGCTGTCTCAGCCCTCGCAGCCCCGACTTCGTCTGGAAGGTCGTCCAAAAGGATGTCCGGATGGACGGTCACTCCACTGTTTGGCTGTTTGGTTGATTTGCATATTACGCTTTTATTATTATAGATTTCACTCTCCCCTCTGTAGCCAACATCCCAGTCTGCATTGTTAACCATAATTTTCAGCAGCCCTTTAACTGGCACCCCTCTCTCTAGTCTTTTCTTACTCCTGTTTATCTTGTACTCAGTGACAAAAATAATCTTCATAAAACACCCTTGCTCAAAATTCTACAGTGATTCCATAATATCTCTTGAGCTAGTGTGATCTAAGCCCCTTCGCCAAGGCCAGGCTCCACAGCACGGGAGTCGTCCCACTCAGTAACATCACCTGCTGCTCCCGGCTCAGGCCCTGATGTCACCCTGTCACCAGTTATTAATACCACTCTCTGTATCTTCCCTCTAGCCACCCCTCCCTCTAACTGGGGTGCCTGGGTTCCATCCTCCCAGCTATCTTTAGGCCTGCAGCTTCAAGGCACAAAGTGGGCAGACTAGTAATTACTGACCTAGTGTGACTTTTCCTTTATTTTGAATCTCTTTTGTATTTTTGTAGACAATCTATAGTGCCTTACAATGCACATTTCATCCTACCTTCAAGTCACTTTCTATTGTTCTATGTATGTTGTGTAGGCACTGTCACCCTAACCAGTTCTTTAAGAGCAGCAGTTCCTCTGTATCCTGTGGCATCCACCAAAGGTTGTTAAGTAGATCTGCTTCTGCTATAGACGTGGAGAGCTGACCCTTGAACAAAGTGGATCTAAATTATGCAGGTCCAATTATATGCGGATTTTAAGTATAAGTGGATCCATGCAGTTCAAACAGTATTGTGCAAGGTCAACTGTATAACTTTATGACTTTAAGGAAAAAAATGCTTATTTCTCACTGCGAAACAGAAAAGGACAAAATAATGCAAGGGAAGCCACTGAAGCATTATCTGTGGGAAACACATCCGAGCGGCACTCTGCTGAGCCGTCGCACAGTGGTCACCTCTCCATGGGCACGGGGACACCGCCACAGGACACTCCCCAGCTCACCTTCAACCCAGCTGGGTCCTCTGCCACAGCTGTCTCACCAGGACAGGACTCAAGTGATCGATGCAGCTCATCAATGGCTTCACTTGTGATTTTCCACACGGAGTGAAGGCGGTCTGGGTTTGTAGGGCCTGTGTACAGAGAGGTGTTACCTAAAGGGGACATAGCCAGTAGCATGTCCTGGTTATGGCTGCAAAAAGAAATTCGTTATTTGCCAAATGATGGATTTGTATGGACTAAAAATTTTTTATTTTTAATTATAGCTGACATACAATATTGGACTAAAACTCCCTGCCTGCAGATTCTCCTAGCCCACAGGCTCCTCTATCCCCGTTCTCTGTTTGTGCGTGTGTGTTGTTGTTTTTAATCACATAATAAAGGACAAAATAATATAAAGTAAAATGAAAATATAAGATAACCCATCATATTTTTGGTTAAGTTTTTTCCAGCTTTGAAGAGGTGGCAGAGGAAATTTAACACCATCAGTATTTTGGAGAAAAGATCCTTGGGGCCGAGTGCAAGGAATTAGCAACAGAAAAGGCCAAGCCAGGCGAGGCTGAGGCAGACAGAGACCGCCCTGTAGCGCACGCCAGAGCGGAATGCCCTGCACCAAGAAATACTTCATGCTGGTAGCCCAGCCTAGACAATTCTAGTGAAGCTAGTTAACAAGTGCAGGCACCTCAGCTGACTGCAATTTTAGGGATGAAGTATTCAAATAAAAGCTTTTTAGATCAATAAACACTAACTACTTAGATGTTAAAATGCTTTCAAAAGGAAAACTATTTTAATGGGATTATTTCCAAAACCTTAATAATCTAATTTTCCTCTAGGTGACTCAGTCACCATTATGAGTAGGGATGATGCTGCAACATAGTAATGTTTTCAAAACATTCCTGTACCCCCGACTACTCTGCTACTTTAACAAGTACGCCTTCTCTGTGTCCTTCTAGACGGACCGTAGCTTCCTCAGGCAGAGTATACAGCCCCTGGTGAACTATGCTCTTCAGCTTTCTCCCGTCTCCCTTTTCTCCCCGTCTGCTTCCTTCTCCCCCCTTCCCTTTTCCTCTAGCAGCTCTCACTGGGGGGAAATTGGTCACTGCCAGCCAACCTGAGCTCCTGGCTCGTGATCAACACGCCAACCGATCCTATTACATATCCGAGGCTCTCCCTGAGATCTTCATTCTGCAGTTACTTCTAAATTCATCATTTTCTGGAAAGTTCAGGATGAAAATGTTGAGTTACACCAGTGTTACTGCTCTTGATGGGTCTACTGCTATCGGTCTTCAGTCATGTCATTCCTCTGCTCTGCTTACCAGACACAGAGGGAAGAAGACAAACGTATCTGCTCATCTACCTCCTTCACCATGCTGTGAGTTCAAGTTTCCATTCACATTTACTACTGACTCTTACGTGCCGGCCCCTGGCTGACTGATCAAGGTCAGTGAACCAGGCAGACACAGTGTCTGCCCTCACAGAGATCTAAACACACTGTGCAGAGCTCAGCTGAGCATCTCAATCTTTCTCACACAGGCAACTAACAACTCAGGAATGTGCACAGAAAGACATCTACCAGGCAGAATTTTACCTCCTAGGGGTAGCTATTCACAACAGGGCCAGGCCCTTGATCTTACCTCCATAGCGCTGACTGGACTGTCCAGCAGCTGCCTGGCTGGCAGCCTTCAGTCCCAGAGAACCCAGAGGCTGGAGAGCCTGACCCTGCAGCTGTAGGGGTTTGGGTGGCACCAAGTGGGGAGGGGCAGTGGTAGTTTTGGCGAAGCTACTCTGTTGTGGTACTTGAGTGCTACCCTTCTCATCTGTGCCTGTTCAAAAAACAAGGGAAGAACAGATTAAAGTTCTGAAAAGTAAAGGAATTATATGTGAGGAGAGGGCGAGAGAGTGGGATGAGCACCATTGCAATAAGCTAGGGAAAGCTTCCTAGAGTGTGTGCATAAAACTATGGGAAAGAGAGGCGAGTCCACAGGAAATGGGAGGAAGCTTTTATAAATTACACTTGTGATTTAGAAGGAAGCTCAGAAGCAGATAATGAAATGGAAAGGTGAATGAGTCAACATTCTTTATCAAGATGGCTTCTCGTGCCTGCCCAGTGTTGCTCAGTGGCTGAGCACTGACCTGTGAACCAGGAGGTCAGTTTGATTCTCAGTCAGGGCACAAGCCTGAGTTGAGGTTCGATTCCCAGTGGGGGGGTGTGCAAGAGGCAATCAATGATTCTTTCTCATCATTGATGGTTCTATCCCTTTCTCCCTCTCCCTTCCTCTCTGAAATCAATCAACATATATATATTTTTAAAAAGATGGCTTCTCGAATGTCTCTTGTAAAGTTCATGCAAACCCGAGCTCTGGGGCACAACCCATTTACCTTGCTCTGGGGAGAGGGCAAGAGCACTGAGTGTTTCCTCCAACTCCTGAATCTGCTTGAGCAACTTCTGACCTTTGTCTGGAAGAACCTGAATGTTCACTGACGCCAGTGTGCTCTGAAAAACAAGTCCCATAAAACGGATCGCTCCTCTCCTGTTGTTAAAGACAGCTTCAGATTAAAATACCTACAATGCTAAAACTCTAAAATTATGATCTTTTAACTATACATGTGAAAACCAAAACTTTTTTTAAGCCCAGGTGATTTACCAATCCTGAAAATATAAACATAGGAAAAGGCAGAAGTAAACACCCACCTATAGACCTTTGCTCACATTAACACCTTTAACCGGTTGGTGGAGTCCCTAACTGCCCAGAGTAAGCAAAGTCCTAACCTTCAAAAGGAAGCACAAGGCAGTAGTTACCTTCTTTTGTTTCAGTTGTGTTGTGAGGTGTGCACGTTGGGATGCTGGGTCTGAAGGTTCTACCTTCCTGGAAACACTGGAGGCAGGGGAAATTTTTCTTTGCACAGTTTGACCAGGGAATGGAAGGTTCTCCTTCTTTTGTGAGTCCGAAGTCGTGTCTAAGAATGAGGGGATCCTTGGCTGAGAGCAAACGAAAACAACATCATCTTCCTCGCCACTGCTGGTGTCCGCCTCTCGCCTCTCCCCCAGGGACGGCCCTGCAGCCGGAGGCGCAGGCTGGGTGGCAGGGCCCTTTGGAGCAGGCGCAGGATGGGCTTCTGCCTGCGCCTGGAAAGGCCCCTGGAGCAGCCCCTTCTGGGTGGCCTGCGTGCTGGGGTCGTCCTTGGCCTTTGTTTCTCTAGCCTCCCGAATCTTGGGCTGCTCCTTGCTGGGGTGTCCTGCTTCCAGGGGCTTGCTTATTGGGTTTTGGCTGCGAACAGTTTGAGGCAAAGGCCTGGTCTTCTTTTCTCTCAGAGGTTCTGATTCTTTTTGGACATAATGACTCTCACCATTCAGGTTCTCCTGAGCCGCAGATGGTTTTCTCAGCTCATTACCCTGGCACTGCTTGGATTTCATCTCAGGAAGGTTTCTTTTGTGCGTCCCTTCAATTCCCTTTGCTTCACACCGAAGCTCTGCTCTCTCCCCTCGTGGCTTCTCTTGACCTGCAGATTTTTCCTTTACCACCTGGCCAGATGAGAGATCTTTCTCCACCCAACAGTTAGATTCAGGCTTCTGTTTCTTCTTTTGATCCAAGAGTGGGTCTTCCTTTTCCCTTTGCTTTTTATCAGCCATCTTTTCCACATCTTCACCTTTGATGAGCTGTTTCCACAGAGACGGTTCTTGATTCTTGTCAAGTACCTTGAACGGGTTTCTCTGCTGGATTGAAGGATAATGAGATGGCTCAGGTGCATGTTGAGACTTGCTGGTTACAGAATGCTCTTTGGAATTAGGATCCTACAGGAAAAAGAACATGATCCTATATAATAAAAGGCTAATATGCAAATCGACCGAACAGAGGAATGACCGGTCGCTATGATGTGCACTGACCACCAGGGGGCAGACGCTCAATGCTGGAGCTGTCCCCTGGTGGTCAGTGTGCTCCCACAGGGGGAGCGCTGCTCAGCCAGAAGCTAGGCTGATGGCTGATGAGCACAGCAGTGGTTGTGAGAGCCTCTCCCGCCTCCACGGCAGCACTAAGGATGTCCAACTGCAAGCTTAGGCACGCTCTGGAGCAGGCCTAAGCCATCAGTGGACATCCCCCGAGGGCTCCCGGACTGCAAGAGGGCACAGGCCAAGCTAAGGGACCCCCTCGAGTGCACCAATTTCATGCACCAGGCCTCTAGTCTAATATAAGATATTAATGCAAACTTCATTTCTAGAAAGCCTTTTTTTTCCAGAAGAAATGGAAACAGTAAAAGCACTATATTTCTGAACATTCCTGGGACTATCCCTGCCTCTAGAAAAGACTCCTGTCAAACTCATGAAGTATTTGTTTCTTAACAGCACTTTCAATGCTTGGCTCCTTCTCTGTCCATGATCACTGCTTTCCAGGCCTCTAGGAAATGTGCTGACTAAATCAAAGAGCTTTTCTAATAGCAACAGCCACATGGATTCTTTTCACGAAAAACTATTTGCTCAAGATGAACTTTTCCCCAAACCAAATCAAGGTCCTATGCTTACTTGATTTGGAAGATCTCACTGTGGAGTCTAGAATCATAAGTTCAAGCTATCCCTCCATCAAAACAAGTCTCCTCACCTCCCTAGGTCCAGTTCAGTGATGGCGAACCTTTTGAGCTCGGCGTGTCAGCATTTTGAAAAACTCTAACTTAACTCTGGTGCCGTGTCACATATAGAAATTTTTTGATATTTGCAACCATAGTAAAACAAAGACTTATATTTTTGATATTTATCTTATATATTTAAATGCCATTTAACAAAGAAAAATCAACCAAAAAAATGAGTTCGCATGTCACCTCTGACACGTGTGTCATAGGTTCGCCATCACTGGTGTAGTTTCTCACCTACTGGATATCTGTGGGATCTCTCCTAGTTCTCGTGTTCTAAGAGCTTATGAATTATAATCAGCTTATACCAATATCAAGGAGATATCAGTCTATAAAAAGATGCTGAAGTTAGTCAAGAAAATCTAAATCAGTGATGGCTAACCTATGACACGGGTGTCAGAGGTGACACGCGAACTCATTTTTTTGGTTGATTTTTCTTTGTTAAATGACATTTAAATATATAAAATAAATATCAAAAATATAAGTCTTTGTTTTACTATGGTTGCAAATATCAAAAAATTTCTATATGTAACACGGCACCAGAGTTAAGTTAGGGTTTTTCAAAATGCTGACACGCCGAGCTCAAAAGGTTCGCCATCACTGATCTAAATCTTCCCCTAAGTAGGAGAATATTGACAACATTTAAGACCTCTGAAAATATTTAGGTAAGTAAAATAGAAGAAAGTTAATTAATTCTTTACTATAACCAAATAGTCCTTTGAATTAAAAGTCACAACAGGGTCTATCTTCCTTAAAGAAAAGAACTGCCTTTCAGAGACAGTATGATGAAGACCGACCAGTTTCTGTTGTACTTCCAAGTTTTCTCAGGTGATGCCACAGATTAAACAGTCTGAACAGAGCAGGTCTGAAAACAGGTGAATAACTCCTACCTGCCATGGGATAGATCCACACCATTGTTTCTTCTCAGCCTTACTTCTAGTGCATCGGAATAACAATCTAATGTAGTATAAAACACAGATAATCAAGGATGTGAAAATCCATTAAAACACATGTGAAAGCAAATACTGATTCCACTATAAGAAGAATGTAATGTCTGTAGCATATTAATTATTTTCCAGGACACGGGTTATAAACAACAAGGATGAAGAAACCAGCTAGAGGAGGACAGACCTCTTCAATTCAGTCTCTTTCATCAGAAAGCAAATCCTCCCTTCTTACTAAAGGCTGGCTGTCTAACCCAGCATCACACTGTCAGGCAGGCTGGGAGGATTCGAATCTCAGCCCTACCACATAACTAGCTCTGAAAATGAAGACACCGTATTTGACTGGCCCCTGTGGCAGTTTACTTTCCTATAAAATGGTAAAAAGTAATAATAATCTATAATAATAAAAGCATAATATGCAAATCAACCAAACAGCTGTCTGGACGTCCTTACGGATGACCTTCCAGATGAAGTCGGGGCTGTAGCCACAGGATCGAGGCAGCCACCACGGCTGTGAAGGCCTACGCTTGCACGGATTTCGTGCATTGGGCCTCTAATAAATAAGTACCTACCTCATTTGGTCACTGTGAAGATAACAGAGTCAGATCAAAGTTTGACCCATATTAAGAACTTAATAACTGCTGTCATTACTCCACTCCTGCAGCCACAGGGGCTTATTCCTATATCCAGACCTCTGCTTACAGCCTGGAACGCTCCCTTGTCCTTATCTCTACCCAAATTTTAAAAGTCATTCAAGGCCAAGTTCAAGTCTGAATTCCTCCACTTTCTCAGTAATCTTGATTAGCAATATTCCCTTACTGGAGGTCTTAAAGTCACAGAAGCACCTGGCATTTGAACACATCCAATTTGGCATTCTAACTTGTGCAGATAGGACTGCTCAATGACCTTCCTATGTCTAGTTCTTACCCAGTTTTGTCATAGGGCACTTAGGAATATGGGTTCACTGCTTTTACACTAAAACCCAGGTTGAAACAAAAATGGAAACATAAAAAATGAAACTATAAATATCCTAAGGAAAAAAAACCACAGATGAATATCTTTGTAATCCTAAAGTGAAGGCTTTTCTTGGCATGACTACTAGTATAAGAACCTACAGCTGAGAGACAAAGAATTCGGAATTTCGGCTACATAAGTTTTAAACTTCCATATAGTAAAAATACTATAAGCAAATTCTAAGACAAAAAGCAAGCTGGGAAAAGTAATTGCTACACATATTACAAAGGGCTCATATCCTTCACATACAAGGATTACTCCTATTGTACAACACAGTGAACGATACTCCATAACACCTACTAGGTACTGGCTTTATTGATGTGGGTTCTTTAAGGGTTGTTGGGGCCTGGGGTCCTTCTGGCCCATGCCCTAATGCCTCTTTGTCAGCAGCCTAGGTAATCTTCATTGGCCAGATAATCTGCATGCCAATTTTACCCAAAAAGTAACCATTCAAGGAATTTTGTAGACATTCAAAGATTCAAGTGTTATTAAAAATAAAATATTTTGAGCATCCTACTAAAACCAGTTTCTTAAAGAACTAGCTTGTATTATTATTTATAGGCAAAAGAGTATTATTATTTCCACCCATTTTGATCCCATATCCTTGAGAATAAAAAGTAAAAGGGCTGGGGGCAGGGAGAGAAAAAAAGAGAACATGAACTCAGGAGCTCAGTGACAATGTCCCACATTTGTAAATCAAGGTGTGCCGCTTTTATGTGGTAAACACTCCTGTCAAGGCAAGAGTTCTTCCCACGGGTTCTACTGAATGACTAGCATAGCTTCCTTCATTGCCCAACAGAGGGCCACGGCTGAAGGACCAGTCAAATGCTGGTGAGTGGTACCATCTGGTGTTTAAATTGGAGAACTGCACACAAATGCAGCTGCATCCAAGGTGTATAGAAGGGGCATTACTTGGCTGCACCTGTCTCCTGTTCAGGTTAAGCTTTACTCATAAATGGTATTAATTTGGGGAAATAAAGTACCTAAGTTCTTGAAAAGAAAAGCCAGTTTGGGGGAAGGAGGGGCTGTATTCCCTGAGGTCATTCTCCAGAGTATACTATAGGAGTTCTGGCTAAATGCATTATTGTTTGCAAAGGACATCATCATCCCTGGGTTTGTCTACTTCTGCTTATATTTCCCGCCTGCACCACACAGCTGGATGCATGTTTTCTGTTGTGGTTGTTTGCTGCAGAACTTTATTTTCTTCATCCTAAAACAACCTTTTTAAAGCTCTAGTAAATACCTCCTAATAATAGTGCTTTGGATTTGGGCTAAAAGAATTACATTTAGCATACTTTTTTTGCCCTATTTTAAAACAATGATCACCTCTCAGCTTCACCTACCTAGTATGAAGAATATTAATGATAAGTTCTCAAAATTCTATGTTTAGCCTAAACCTCTCTTCAAAGCTGCACACTCACTCTTTTAGCTGGTTTCACATTACACAAGACATGAGTAATCCAAAGCTCTCTACGTGATCACATCCCAACCCTTTCTTCCTGTCTTGCTTAATGGTATACTCATCACCCATAAACCCCAACTCAGCAACCATTTATTGAGCACTGACAATAACCTAAACACCAGACTAAATGCATCACACACAGCCCCACTGAGTCCTCACAACCTAGGAAAGTCCCCCAGGGCTACCATGATCACTATTCCTGATGAGAAAGAAGGGAAGAAGCATGCTTCAATGCCCTACCGGAAAGTTTGTCTTATCAATTCTCTTTCAGCAAGTTTCCTGCAATCTAAGTGGATCCAATTCCACTGCCACTGCCTCAATCCAAGCCCATTTTTCTCACTAGGTTTGAATACCAGCAATGTAACTTATAACCATGGGAACCTGGATTCCATTCTCACCTCTCTACATTTCTCCTTATCTGTCTGTAAAACAGGGGTATTGAAACTTATCGCAGCAGAATCTACGACAATAAGAGATAATGAATATGCTATGTAGCAATTATTTCAGTTGTCCCCCTTGCCTCCACTATCTTCACTTTCTAATCTATCCTCCATTTAGTTCTTCTTTAATGCAAATTGGATAAGAAATTCTTCAGTGGTTTCCTATCATCTAGAACAGTGTTTCTGCATGATAGAGCCCCCAGTAGTTTGCAAATGGTTTCATGTACTAGATTCTAGTAATTAGAAGCATCCTAGCCCCACTATATCAGAGAAAACAATCGAAACGTGAAATTTTTAAAAATTCCATTTAAAACCATATCAAAAACCATAAACATTGAGGACTAAAATTAGCAAAAAGGGTACAGAACTCCATAATGAAAATTATTCAACAATACTAGGAAGAAATTTTAAAGTCATAAATAAAGAGGCCATGCTCATGGATTGGAAGATCAATATTATTGGCAGTTCTCCCGCAAATGATCCATATAGATTCGTTGTAATCCCAACAGTGCTTCCTGAGGAAATTTTAAAAGTTGATTCTATATTGTATATGAAAATGCAAAGGACCCAGAATAGCCAGTCTTGAAAAATAAAGTTGGAAGACACACACTATCTTACCTGATTGTGTAAGGATAGGCTAAGGCAGCAGTGGAACAGATTTGTAAGTCCAGGAATAGCCCACAAATGGTCAACTAATTTTTTAAAAAAATATTTCTAAATATATTTTTATTGATTTCAGAGAGGAAGGGAGAGGGAGAAAGAGATAGAAACATCAATGATGAGAGAGAATCACTGATTGGCTGCCTCGTGAACACCCCCTCCTGGGGATCAAGCCCACAACTGAGCATGTGCCCCTGACCGGAATCAAACCCAGGACCTTTCAATCAACAGGCCGATGCTCTATCCACTGAGCCAAACCGGCTAGGGCTCAACTGATTTTTTAATAAGCATTTCCATGGAGAAAAGAATGTCTTCAGAAAACAGTGCAGAAACAAATGCATAGCATTCATTCGATATTACAAAAATAAATAAACTTCTACTCTTATAAGATAACCAAAATTAATTTGAGGTCCACCATAGACTAAACAAACAAATAAACAAAGCCATAAGCAAAACTATAAAACTTCTACAAGAAACCACTGGAGAAATTTATGATCTTGGGTAGGCAAAGATTTCTTAGAGAAAAGACAAAAAGCACAAGCCATTAAAATATAATAAACTGAACTTTATAAAAATGGAAAAGTTCTGCTTTTCAAAAGACAGTTAAGAAAATGAAAACCACAAACAGAAGAAAATATTCAGAATGTGTTTATCTGCCAAAGGACTTGTATAGAGAATATATAAAGAACTCCAACTCAATAATAAAAGACAGCACAATATTTAAGACAAAAATCTCTGGTTTGATTCAGTGGATAGAGCATCAGCCTGCGGACTGAAAGGTCCCGTGTCATATTGAATAATCCCATTTATGTAATATTTTTGAAATGGAGGTCAGATTCATGGCTGCCAGGAGTGAGGGGGGAGCAGGAGTATGATTATACAAGGGCAACAGGAAGGTTCCTGTGGTGATTGAACTGTTCAATATTTTGACTGTCATGGTGAATACACAAAACTACACATGATAAAACTGTATAGAACTAAATGTATAAGTATACAAATTAGTATAGTAAAGCTATCTTTACAAATAAGATCAATGAATTTTATCAGTATCAATATTCTAGTTGTGATATTATACTAAATTTTGCAAAAATGTTACCATTAGGTAAAGTCTACAGGGATCTCTCTGTATTGTCATAACTGCAAGTGAATCTACAATTATCTCAATAAAAATTTCAATTTAAAAAAAATGGGCAAAAAATTTAAACAGGTATTTCATCAAAGGTACACAGATGGCAAATGAGCACATGAAACAAACTGTGGAATTCATAAAATAGAATTCAACTCGGCAATAATAATAAATGAATTACTGATAAACACAACCAGATGGAGAATTTCACAGATACTGTTACATAAAAGTCAAACAAAAAAAGAATGTATATATTATGAATCAAAATAGTGGTTGTCTATGGTGGATGAGGAGATTAACTAGAAGCGGGTCCAAGAGCACTTAATTAGGCAATAGAAATATTCTATATTTTGATTGGGGTTTTGGTCATAAGGATGGGTATATACTTCTCTCAAACCTCAACCAGTTGAAAACGTAAGAGCTGTACATCTTATTGAATATATAGCTCAATTAAGAAAAATAGTAAAACAGGCAGTATTCAGGTATGTAAAAATTGTAAAGATAGCCTTTGAATGCCTCTAATTTGCAGGGAGGGGGTTGGGGGAAATCAATCTAGAATATGTAAATTCCAAACTGCACAGAATCCTATCTAATAAAAGAGAAACATGGTAATTGGCGTATGACTGCTACCCTTCCCATTGGCTAATCAGGGCGATATGCAAATTAACTACCAGCCAAGATGGCAGCCGGCAGCCAGGCAGCTTGAAACTAACATGAGGCTTGCTTGCTTCAGTGACGGAGGACTCCAACATTCCCCGCCTTCCTTGCCGGCCTCTGAGCTGCAACTCTAAGCAACTATGTAACAAATATAGAAACTAAACAAAACTCCAGAAACCGGCTTTAGTCTGCCGGGCTTCAGCCAGCAGGATTGCAACATTGTAAGCAAAGGCCAGAAACCTACTTTCAGCAGCGGAGGCCTAAGAGCTGGAGCCAAGCCTCAAAGCTAAAGCTGGCCCAGAATAAAAAAAAAAAAAAGAGCGGTTGGAAGCTTCAGTCACCCCCAGCCTGAAAACAGGCCTCAGCCCCTCACCCAGACTGGCCAGGCACCCCAGTGGGGACCCCCACCCTGAAGGGTATGTGACCAGCTGCAAACAGCCATCATCCCCTCACCCAGGCTGGCCAGGCACCCCAGCGGGGACCCCCACCCTGATCCAGGACACCCTTCACGGCAAATCAGCTGGCACCCACCCGTGCACCAGGCCTCTACCCTATAGCAAAAGGGTAATATACCTCCCAGCACCGGGATCAGCGGAGCCGCGAGGCCTCCCAGCACCAGGATCAGCATGACAGGGGGCAGCGCCCAAACCCCCCGATCGCCCTGCTCTGTTCGTGACAGGGGAAGGTGCCCCAACCCCCTGATAGCCCTGCTCTGTGCCTGATACGGGGGGAGCTCCCCAAACCCCTGATCACTCTGAAGCTCTGTGTGTGACAGGGTGCGGCGCCCCAACCCCCTGATCGGCCCTGCTCTGTGTGTGACAGGGTGCGGCGCCCCAACCCACCCCCCCACGGGCCCTGCTCTGTGTATGACGGGGTAGAGCCATAACCTCCCCATCGGCCCTGCCCTGAGTGTGAGAGTGGCAGCGCCCCAACCCCCTGATCGGCCCTGCTCTGTGGGTGATAGAGGGCGGCGCCCCAACCCCCTGATGGGCCCTGCTCTGTGCGTGACAGGGGGCGGCGCCCCAACCCCCTGACTGGCCCTGCTCTGTGCATGACGGGGGCAGTGCCCCAACCCCCTGATTGGCCCTGCTCTGTGCGTGACAGGGGGTGGCGCCGCAACCTCCCCATCGACCCTGCCTTGAGTGTGACGGGACGGTGCCCCAACCCCCCAATCGGCCCTACCCTGAGCGTGACTGAGGGTGGCATCACAACCTCCCGATCACCCTGCTCTGTGCATGATGGGGGCGGCGCCCCAACTCCCCAATCAGCCCTGCTCTGAGTCCGACCAGGGGCTGCACCTAGGGATTGGGCCTGCCCTCTGCCACCCGGGAGCAGGCCTAAGCCAGCAGGTCGTTATCTCCCGAAGGGTCCCAGACTGCGAGAGGGCACAGACCGGGCTGAGGGACCCCCCTCCCCCACGAGTGCACAAATTTTTGTGCACCAGGCCTCTAGTCCTATATAATAAAAGGCTAATATGCAAATTGTCCCCTTGGGAGTTCAACTGCTCACTATGATGTGCACTGACCACCAGGGGGCGGCACAGAGCGAAGGAAGGCCCTGGCCTGCAGCCAGCCAGGCCTAGGGACCCTACTTGTGCACCAGGCCTCTGGTATCATATAAAGACCATCACACCTGGCCCCTGCCTTCCTGGCCAGCCTTATCTTCTGAAGTCTCTACTCAAACATGTGCTAAACTATTACTGAACCAAATGCATGTAATTCTGTTACTTTGTGCCTCTGTTCCCTAATGTAGAGTATTAATCAGTTAAATATGACCCCTTTCTTGCTCCTTGTGAATTCCTACTTATCTTTCAATTCTCATGAGAAATATCATCTGACATCTAAATAGACTTTCTTGCCCTTCTGAGTTCCCATAAAAAGGGCAACTAACATTCACAGATTATTTAACATATGTTAGACATTTTTACACATTACCTCATTCTATAATAGAATGAGAAAGTGGACAAGTTAATGACCATTGGAGCAGTTTAATCCTGAAATTTTGCTCAGCAGTGAGGGAGTGACAGCTCAGACAATATTCAACACATGCAAAAATACTGCTGTGTTGTTGTTTTTTTAAATAATGAGTATTAAAGAATCCTAGGAAAACATACCTGGCTCTAACTGTTCCAGGCAAGAAAAAAAGAAAAGCAAATGTACTTAGATGTTCCTTTTGGACACTTACCTATATTCTTTCGTGCCCTGGGGTGGCAGTAAGCCCTGAAGTTCTACCACAAATCCCTCGTGCAATAAACAATGAGAAACAGGAAGGCTAGAGGGGGAAAAATTGAAATTTTGTTTTAGAAGGCAAAGAACAGAAGCTAACATCCTACAATTAAATCCAAACTGTAAGAGTCCATGCATAACTTCCACTGAGCTTGTAAATCCCAGACATTTCATGTGTACGTGCACTCCCCTGGGGAAAGCGCCCACAGCTTTCATCTTTCCCACCCCCCAAATAATTCATGACAATAATATCTTTTTCCTGATGATTCAAAGGTTTTGAAATATACTGTGGTATGTGACCTTTACATTATAAGACTCCAGGAATGCCTGAAGTACCTACTGTAGCAACACACCCTAATTTGTTCATGCTTGGCATAAACTTAACTCCTCCTCCAACTTCTTATTATGAGAAAATTTGACATTTGAGAGTAAATTGGTTGAAATGAAGAAATTTACTTTCCTATGTCCTGCAACACTTTTTATTTTGCTTATATTCTGGATACCAGACATATTCCAAATAGATCAAGTTTATCAAATTACTGTCTTCAAGTCAAATATTATGGTACTAGAGGCCTGATGCACAAAATCTGTGCAAGAGTAGGCCTTCCTGCCCCCAGCTGCCAGCACCAGGGACCCAGGCTTCCCTCCGGCTGCCAGCAGGCACCCGGGACCTGGGCTTCCCTCGCAGCCCTGGCTTCCTCTGGAAGGATGTCTGGTCTAATTAGCATATTACACTTTTATTATTATAGATCAGTTTGTATAACAGTACGTTTGTACAAATGGCAGTCTATATAAGGGTATGTTCCTTTTAATGTAAAACCAAGTCTTATGCTACCATTGATACTTAATTCCTACTACAGCAGGTCCTCAGGTTATGTTGGAGATCCGTTCCTACAGCGCAACATAAAGGGGATTTTCCCCGGTAAGTCGGAACCCACCTACATAAGCACCTACGTCACTCACATGGAGCACAGACACAGCAGTAATGAAGTGAAACAGTAAAAAAATTTTAAAAGAAAGATAACAATCCCTGACCTTTACTTGTGGTAAATAAATAATAAAAAACATAAAGCACATATGTACATACGTCAAAATGACGGAACTTTTTTTTTTTTTATAAATAAATGGGAGATGGCGATGTAACCACGAAACGAACCACGAAACGACATACGTCAAGTCCAACGTAACCCGAGGACTGCCTGTAATATGAACATGCTTTCATGTTTCACGAAACTTGAGCTAGATACAGAACCTAAGAAGCTCAGAATAGAAACCAGAAATAAATAGCAAACCCTAACATAATACGCTGTTGATAGCTTATTTTTGGTTAGTTCCTTCTATCTTAAGATTTGACAGCTTTACTCAAAATCATTTTGTATTTAATTAAAGTGGATCCCAGTAATTTCTTTCAATTAAAAACCTTAGTAGAGGGCTAAAAGAATATTTTCTCGGAAAAGTTAACATTACACGTTGAAAGAATACTTTATTTTTTAGTTGATATCCATTATGTGCTTTACATGGAATAGAGAAAAGTTATTTTTCTTTACCAAGTTCAGTACATAGAGAGAAGGAAAAAATGTTTAATGATGTGATCGTTTTCAAGTTCTCTAGAGACTGTGGACAGCTGGCACTACAAAACACGAACACTCTGAGAACAGTATTAACTTTTCTCACTTTAAAAAAATGATACTTAATATTGCTGGGTCTCAGCTGCCCATTTTGTAAAACTATAAAGTGCTAAAATCAGCTATCTGATTTTCTTTCGGCATTAACCCCTAAAGTAACTTGCTTCTTTGGGTTATCATTATCACCACTTAAATGCAGAGAATCCTGTTTTTAGATGGGGCCATCGGGGTGTTTTGACCTCCAACACTTAAAAACCAGTTCAGCCTAAAACTAATTCAAAACAAGGCCCAACTATTTCCTACTATGCCTGCAGGTCCTCAGTTAGAGGGGGCGGAGGAGGGGAATGTCCAGGTTGCCTAGGCCAGACAAATCAATAGAAACCCAGAGCTGGAAAGCATCCCCCATTATACGGCTCTTGGGGACCCAGAGAGGGTGAGCAACCAGGCTCAGGGCACACAGCAAGCAGGAGCGGAGCGTCTCCCCAGCACCCGCTGCGGTCCTGGGATTACCAACTACTTCAAGGGCCCTGGCTCCGCAGACCAGGGGCCCCACCGCTCGCTCCTAGTCCCTGTGACGCCGGGCGCCGAGCCGGCGGCTCCTCCCGCGAGGTCACGGGGAGTCGGGCCCCGCTCGGGACCTACTCGGTGGGCTGCACGAAGTCGCAAACGTCCGCCCGGCACACGTAGAAGCTCTTTCCTTTATTCGGGCCATCGCGAACGCCGGTCTTCAGGAAGCAGGGAGTCCCTGAGGAGAGAAGGTCGACAACAATTACGCCATGACAGGTGGACCGACCCCGGGGGGCCCTCGGACCCTGGCCCCTCACCATGCTGCGGACACCTAACTAATTCCATCGCGTTCTTTTTCGGGACTCTCCCACGAAGTCCCGCCCCAACGCCTGCTTCCGCTTTTCAGTCGGTCCTCCAGAACCAATCATCAGTCTTAATGCCCCCATAATTCACCGCCGTGGCATTAACCCCACCCTCTAACTATTACCAGCCAATCATCCTGGAGGTCCGCTCACCTCCAACCAATCATAGCTACACTAAGACTTGGCGCGCGCAGAAATCAAATCTGAGGCTGAGGCGTGAGGGCGGGGCATTTGGCTGGGGGCGTGGCTAAGGCTGGAGGGTGGTTTAGACAGGAGGTGGGCGGGGAGAGGGAGGCTTCGCTTGGCAGGAACTCGGGGAGCTACGGGCTGGACTGAGACGGGGCGACTCGGATTTCCACTTAAGACCTTCTAGGGGGCGGCCCTAGAGGAAACGGGTTTACAAACCGCAGGAAGGAGCGCTGCAAAGAAGGCTCGCTCCGCCAGGTGGCCGAGAGCGCCGCGAGCTGCCCGGGTCTCCCCGCGCCGGGGCCTGGCGCTCGGGGGCGCTCTGGCGCTGTGCTCGGTCACGGTCACTGGGGAGGACAGGCCTGGAGGAGCGGGCCCCGCAGGAGGAGCCGCAGAACTTGTGGTGCTGCAGCGGCGGGGGCAAGAGGGGGTGCGGGTGAGAGGTGATGGGGGCGTCCCTTAAAGCTGCGTGGTGAGCTGACAGGTCTACCCCAGGACAGGCATAACGGACCCCACAACAGTCTTTTAAATTTGTGTAGCGCTTTGGACCCCACAGAGTGCCTACGCATGCATGCCTCTCTAGACTCCACAACCTGGAGAGATGGGCAGCATTTTATGGAGGACCCCCGAGACTCAGAGGGTTAAAGCGACTCCCTCCAGGTCATGGAATCAGCGAATTACTGACAGGTGCCCAGGGGACCGCGCAGCTGCCTCCTGTGTGTACAGAATGTTCTCTAGACTCTGGTAGTGTAGGGGTGGAGGGGAACTTTGTCAAACTTTTTTCTACTAGTATGCTCTGATAATATTAAAAATCGAGGTTGAAATTAAAGGAAAGGGGACTGTATTTGAAATCGCAATCCAAGTTATCCATTAAAAAGGAATAGCCTAGCCGGTTTGGCTCAGTGGATAGAGCCTCAGCCTGCTGACTAAAGAGTTCCGGGTTTGATTCCGGTCAAGGGCACATGCTCGGGTTGCGGGCTGAATCCCAGTAGGCGGCGTGCAGCAGGCATCCGATGGACGATTCTCTCATCATTGATGTTTCTGTCTCTCCCTCTCCTTTCCTCTCTGAAATTATATATATATATATATATGAATAGAGCCCTAGCTGGTTTGGCTCAGCAGATACAGCATCAGCCTCCAGACTGAAGGGTCTCAGTGGGATTCCTGGTCAGGGCACATGCCTGATTGTGGGCTCGATCCCCAGTAGGGGGGGTGCAGGAGGCAGCAATCAATGATTCTCAGCACTGATGTTCCTATCTCTCCTCTCCCTTCCTGTCCGAAATCAATAAAAATATATATTTTTTAAAAAGAAAAAAAAAGATTTTAAAAATGGAGGGATAGAAATCAGACTTATTGCAATGGAGATGGTTTCGTATTACAGCTATTGAGGGCCATATGGCCAGACATATGGTGTGGCATGTGCTGCTGTACTTAGTGGGGACAGCAGGACAGAAAAGCTGCAATGTCTAGGAAGCCTGGGCTATATGATAAATGTAAATGTCACGGGGGTCTGGAAGAGGGAAGGCAAACCTGAGGTATCATTTATTAGTTAAACAAGTACATATTAAATAGCTTTTTTAAAAAAATATATTTTATTGATTTTTTACAGAGAGGAAGGGAGAGAGATAGAGAGTTAGAAACATCAATGAGAGAGAAACATCGATCAGCTGCCTCCTGCACATCTCCTACTGGGGATGTGCCCGCAACCCAGGTACATGCCCTTGACCGGAATCGAACCTGGGACCTTTCAGTCCGCAGGCCGATGCTCTATCCACTGAGCCAAACCGGTTTCGGCTTAAATAGCTTTTTGTGTGCCCGGTGTAGACTGGGCATTTCAGAAATAATAGAATTTATTTATTCATACACACAAAGTTTCTAACAACTAAACAGAAAAGGCTTACTCAATATTTGGTAGAGACTGAACACTTAAATAATCATATAAAATAGTATTTAAATGTGGAGATGAGTGGGATTAGCAGTAAACTCTGTAGGGCTAGATAAAGATGTTTCTGGAACCTAAGTGGAGTTAGTTTATATATAACTACCCCTCTGAAATGCCTATAGATAAATTTAGAGATAAGACAAAGCAAAAACAAACAAACAGAGGCATTTTCATCATCCCCAGATTATAGTTCTTGCACTGAGACATTTTTAGGTACATACATTTAATAGACTCTGTATTGGGAGAAGCAGACCATAAACACTGGGTTTGCAGGAAGAGGGGCATAGTAATTTAATTCATTTTTGAATAATATCCTTTTGAAACAAGACAAAATCAGGGCCTCTCTAAGTATTCCATTCAGGAAGAAACTCTTCCTCTGTAAGTATCCCAGCCAATATCGCAGGTCCAACCCCATGAAAGTGTGCACAGCCAGATCACAGAAAGGGGGAATATTTCTTCCATAAATATGTGATATGCTAGACATCTGTAATAATGTCAACAATAAAAATAAAGGAAAAAATGTTTAGGCGCTGGACAGTTTATCCTACCTAATCATATTCATACGAGTGAAAAAACAAGTTTGTCACTGGGTGAAGGGTGGCCATAATATCAGCATAAACTATAATGAATTGTACAATATACACTTTTCAATATATACACGTACAGTAGGGTATGTGCATTAACTCTGACTCTGTATTCACATTTTTAACTTATGTCCTGAAATAGCTTGCAGACCTGTGGAGCAACCACTGAAGAATGTGCTTTCCGGACCTCTATCTTGAGTCAAATTGAGATCTTGATTTGGTTTTTCTTTAGAGATTGATTCCCTCAAAAGGAATGCCTAGGCTAGGTCCTAGAGCTAGATGGCTTAAATACACCCGTTAATGGTCCAATAAATTCTTTCCATTCCGGGGCTCGTCAAACACAAAGTATGTGATGGGTTTGCTCCAGAACTGGATTGTGGTAATGGCTGCACAACTATACAAATTTATTAAGACTCTGAATTGCATACTTTAGGTGAATTCTGTGGTATCTAAGTTATCCCTCAATAGAAGCTGTACAAAACAAAGAAACAAAAGATATAATGTATAAGCAGTGTCAGAACGTGGAAAACAAGAGCTAAGGTTAATTATCTAAGCGATTTTGACATCTTAGGGAAATAAGAAGAAGTAAAACAGTAGAAACTGTTCCGTTTCAGACAATGTAGCTCCTTAAGCAGACCGGTTCTCCAATGTGTGAAATGAAATCCAGAGTGGTTTAAACACTCATTGTTGTTTGTGGGGAAATAGAAGGAACGTATTTTCTCTAGTCAGTGTTGTGCTGGCTGGCATATATAAACACGTCAGGCATCTAGAAGATACCAGTGGTAAGAGGCTCAGCTAGAACAGCCAACCCTTGACATCCTGGCACTATCCATATGATCTATAATAATAAAAGGGTGATATGCTAATTAGAACGGATGTCCTTCAGGATGAAGCTGTGGTTGGAGGGATGCCTGGGTCCCGGGTGCTAGAGGGAAGCCAGTTCCAGCAGCCGGGGGATGGAAGGCCTACTCTTGCACAAATTTTGTGCATTGGGCCTCTAGTTTAAAAATAATCAGCAAAGCCAGGTTTCGAGTTATTTGTAAAATTCCAACTTCTATGCAACCTTATTTTAAAATTAAATTATTCAATTGTGTTTTCCAATTCATTGGTAAACCAAAATATATTTAGTTTTCTGAATGTATATCCCTGTGGGTTTTGCTCATTGTTTTGGGATGGGGAGGGAGGGGGTCACAGTTATGATGCAAATTAATAGGGAAACATCACTGGAGCCTACTTTTTTAAAACTCTCCCTTGAGCATGTTTTTATTGATTTGAGAGAAAGAGGAAAGGAGAGAGAGAAAAAACATGGATGTGAGAGAGAAACATTGATCGATTGCCTCTTGTAAGCGCCCCGACCAGGGATCGAACCTGCAACCTAGGTATGTGCCCTGACCAGAAACTGAACCCGAGACTTTTAGATGTACAGGACAACACTCCAACCAACTGAGTCACACTGGCCAGAGCTAGCCTAACCTTTCTGAGGTGTATGCTAGGTACTTTTACATGCATTCTTAGTTCTCATAACTACCCGGCAAGTGGGCATTCTTTTATCCCCATTTTAAAGCATAAGATTTCAAAGTTTAGAGTCCTTAAGAGCTTGCCCCGAGGCCCTGCTCCTAACCACTGCCTTAAGAGCCTCTCCTTGGACTTTGGAATCAAATTAATCTTCTCCCAGCTCAAAGTCACAAAGCTGACACCAGCAGATGGGGACTGGAAGTCATTTTTCGAGATTCCCCATCCAGTTCTTGCCACTGTAGTATTTTTGTGAAGCATAAATTATTCAGTGATTCACGCAAATATTTCACCAACCCCACAGCCAAGCATTCAGATATTTGTGGTATACAGACATGACTTAACAAATCCAAGAAGGGAAAAAAAACAAACTGAGTCCTGCCATTTTCTAAATGATCACTAGGTAGCAGCACATTAACATAATAACCAAACCGAAGGCCCTCCTCTTCTGAAGGCTCTATTCTTTTTGCTTCACAATATGTAATGCTAATTCAATTTCATTTCATTGTGTGCCTTTCAAAAAACGACCATTTTCAATTTGTCCTTTAACACAGGCACAGTCAGGTTGCCATTATAGTAGGAACGACTCTGGTTATAATTTGAAAACACAGGAGACTTTACACATTCTTTAGTCGTACCAATATTTTGTATGAATTTCAGTGGTGTTAAAATTGTATCCCTAATAACAGTCTCAGGACAAGGCAACCACCAATCTGCTTTCTGTCTTCAGAAATTTGCCATTAAACCTTTTTAAGCATTTCATATAAATGAAGTCACAGAATATGTAGTCTATTGCCTCGTATTCTTTCACTTAGCATGATGCTTTTGAGGTTCATCA